AGAAGTGCACTGCCATAATTCCCACCAGTCTAGCCCAATTACCTGCAGCATTCCAACACAGGACAACTGACAACCTTCAAGTCTACCAAGTCATTCATTCCCACCAGACTGGTGATACATAAAAGCAAACTGAACTCTTTCTCAGAATGGTTACAACTCCAACTACACCTGCTGCAAAGTACAAACATTATCAAGTTTCTACAGATGTTGTTTAAACTGGAACTATGGCTAAAGGTGATTATTACACAAAGCCCCCATTTAAATCTCAACTTCACAATAATTTGTGCTTTCCAACTATGCTGTCTGACATACAAAAACAATTCAATAATATATTCTTTTCTTTCCAACCATGTTAAGAATTAGACCTTATTGGTAGAAAAAAAAATATTGAATAGAATGATGTAAAAAAATATATTTTAAAATAATTGTTCGAAACCTATGGTATTTGGCAAATCCGAAAGAAAGTTAAAGAGAAATGTTCTCCATTCAAAATAATTTTGTTTGGTAAAACACATAAAATTACAATGAAAATTTTGAATGACAACATTATATAGTTTTAATTTTAATAAACATTTACCAAATTATATTTGAAGTAAGTAAAACTCTATTTCAAGAGAAATACTACTTGGTATTTCTACTTTGGACATACTTTTTTTCAAAAAAGAAATAGGATATCAGTTTTAAATATTGATTGAAATAACTTAACATGCTAGTACACTGAGCTTTTACATTCATTTTATCACTAGCATAGAACATGAATAAAAAAGACTGAACAGAGTAAAGGTTTATCCTAAACTGGATATCTCCCTTTCTAACAAAAATAAAAACCGCTACATGTTTTTCAACAAGAAAATACATGCATTAATCCTATAATTATGTATCGCTACATCTTACAACTGTGTTAAAATAGAAATTTAATAAATTAATAAATATTAATATTTCAAAACATAGCTGAATTATGTGTCTTCTTTCACAGTTTTGTTATTCTCAAATTTCAGTAACTTAATAGGATATGTAACATCTGCAAAACAGAGAGGCAACTTTGAGAATTTCTCAACTATACTCATTGATAATCTAATCCCAAAACACATTCCATTAGAAATCACTTCCAAATGTTTAGTTGCATATAAATATACTGAGCTTCCTTGACGTAACTTGGCAGAATACATCATACTCAGAATATAGCAGCATTTTCATTTAAGAACCTTGTTCAGGAATTTATAGAGACTGATAGCTTAATTGACTTGAAAAGAGAGCAAGAATTAACAGTTCACAAGGTGATACTTTAATCTTTCTAGCACTGTTTATATATAAGGCTAAAATCCTCTGCACATTTTACTAGAAGACAGTTTTAAGTTATACTCATAAACAGTCATCAGACTCTTCTGCGGTCAGGATTCACTCTAAATATAAATAACAGACTTTTTAAAAAAATGTTACGTTTTTACAAGCGTACAATTCAACTTACAACTGAAAGAAACTAGCTCTTCTCTAACAACAACAAATGCAATCAGCAACTCCAAAACCCTAACTCTGTTATTCATTAAGCCTTAACAATTATAAAATATATGGTAAATGGTAAAATTCCATTGGGTAAAAAAAAAAAGCCAGCAAACAGAAATATTCTAAACACACAAAAACTATATCAAGCTGTCCCCACAACATATATAATCAACATTAATATAAAACAAATAGAACTGTTATTAAAACAATCCTTTCATTTTTCTTAAAACAGAAAGTAAAAAAAATGTACTAATGTAGCTAAGAATTATACCTTTGAATAGCTTGGATTCGATGACTGGACACAGATGTAAAAGAAAAATAATTTTGAAGATCACAAGGCCCATAGTGATCCAATTTGAATATTCAGCAGAACTATTTCTTTATGAATCAGTTCTCAAGTAGGTTGGCAACATCAATACAACTGTAATAATGTTCTTTTATTTAAGCAACATCTTGAGATAAAGAGAGGAAGGGAGGGCAAATGCTAAAACTTAAAAGACATATAATCTCATTGTTCCATTATGCAAAATGACATCTTCATTGGAACACATATTCTAGCATCAGACTGCCAAGTTACACAATCCCTTTATGCATTAGTTTTAAGTTTCAACTTCAATCTTAATTATGCATTTAATAAACACTTTAAAAATAAAATCATGAAAAATGATTTGATACCATTTTAGATTTAACATCTATTATTTTGTAAATTCATTAATATCTTCCATTTTTGTGTTACACAACACTTTTAAAAAGGTCTTTTCTCTAATTAGCTTGAGAGTATGAACCCCAGACAAATACTGACATATAGTTGGCCATGTATGTGAGCATGCATTTGCATGTATTTAAGATGAAAAACAAAACAGTATTGCATCCACACTTCAATTTATTATTCACATTATTTACTAAATTTTCATAAAACCCTCTCATTCCACACTGGATTCAGATGATATACTAAAATTAAGCAATTTAAAATATTCCTTACAAAGTATAACATATCAACCCTCCTTCTCCCATAACTAGTATTTTAACTAAAACAGGGTCATACATATTGTTGTCATATGCACAAGTACAATGTAACAGTTTCAGAAGAAATACTTACTACATTTTACAAAAATGAATTTCAAGAAATAAAGCCATTGATTTATCACACAGAATGCAAGAAAATATCAAACCAATTTACAGTTTATCAAGAAAAATGACCAATATTCAATCATGTCACTTCTTGAAAATCTTCATTTAGAAACAATTTGCACAGTAGAAAACAGTCATTAACAATTTAGTTATATGCCTAAATAATAATTTCTGGTAATAATTTCTGAATATCTGGCCAGTTGCATTTAAACTCTGAATGAAAATTTTATGATGAAAAAAATCAGTAAGTTATAAATACTTACATTACGTTTTTAACATAAATTTTTAAATTGTTTTTTTAAAGAGTTTTTAGTACTAATTACAAGCTTTATTTAAAGACTTATTTTTATTTACTGCGATCAGTAACTATTTATCTCATGTAGTACATAATAGTGCATACAGTACACATATAGTACATATAGTGCTATATGTACATAATAGTACATATAGAGTACATAATATAAACATATATTATAGATTACATAATTTTATTGCACAATATGTTCCCAATATCTCAGCATCCACTATGAAACTAAGTATCAGCCATTTCTAGCACTAATAATCCTAGTAAAAGTAGTTTACAGTATGAAATTACTAGCAGTAACTGAACTTTTATAATTATAAATGAATATTCATTTTAATTTAAGACTACAGTAATAGTAGCATAGTTCAATTTAAAATTTTGTTTGAAATAAAGCCAAATGTTGGCAACTTAAAAAATGTTAAAGTTGATCAAGATTTTTCATGTTTATGGTTAAAAGGGAAACAATTTTTAGCTCAAGTAATAACTGAGTGCCTCACGTATGCCCATCTCTTCAGGTAAGAATCTAATTCATGTATACCAAATTTATGAAAGCTATCCTATAGTATAACTTCAGTTATACAGTAACATCTACACCTGTTACAGATCACACAAGCTAACTCCATGCTATCATTTCCTTCAAAGGGAATGTGTTTACGTCACACAGGAACACAATGTGGTAAACCTCTCACCATCCCTTTTGTATTTTTTTAAACTTAGGCAAAGCTTCTATTTTCAGCTGAAGCTTTAGTAAAGTGCCTGCATAAGCATCCAGGACTCAATTCAATTAAACATTTAATGTTTATTTAAATTAGGAAGGAAATTCTTGTAAAGAAGCAGGCAGAAGTAATCTTTCTTCGCAGTATATACTTAAGCTGAATAAAATTTCAAATTTGCATTCTCAGTCATAGCATCTGTTCCGTCACTCCATCATCTCTAATCTTCTTTATGGATCATATAAATATGTAATTTATATTTAAACTATTGTGTCCAAATTCAATTTAGCAGCTCGGTTATTATCTCAGAACTGTTCTTTCAGTATTATTATCTATACATTATGTCAACCATATATTGTCTTTCATGCTTACCAAAAATTATATAAGCTGTATCATCAATTTTTAAAACATTTCAAGAGTGGAATTTCATCTACACATATCTGTTTGTAAAATCACAATACTTAATCACAATATCTATATCCAAACATCATGTAAACTTCAAAATGCAAGACAGCAAAAAAATGAAACATTCCTGATGCTTCTTTCAATTACCTTCACAATTGCCTTTTAAACTCATTTTAAAGCCCAGACATATCTTTGAAAACAATCAGCAAATGCAAAGCAGCTTTCCTTTCACTACAAGAAAAAAGGCCATCTCAATGGAAAGCTACTACTGTTAAGAATTACAAAATCAATGCACTATCTGGACTATAGCTATTACTGCTATAAACATTAAGAACTTGTTTTAATTTATATTAGATAATCAGTATCTATGCAGGAATTCAGAAATTTTTAAAAAAATATGTAGATATCACTGTACATCATTCACCATGTAATGAATAATATGCAACGTGTTAATGCTTATGCCCAACCTATAACTACATCTATCTCCTTTTCTCATTAGTGTTGATTATTTCACAATAGGTTTCTATTAACTATCACAACTAAAATAATCAAATACCAATGAAATATCTGAAGAGCACCACTTCCTCTCTTTTATTTTGACTAATATAAGTGAACAAAGAAATGAAATAGAACCAAACTACATAGCAAATTTAAGGTAAATGGCCTATTCTACAAGGAGCACACAGATATGGTTTGAACTTATGGCTTTGATTATAATATTTGACATTTTCTTGAAAAAAATTCCAAAGGTGAAATCTAATTTTTAAAATATTTATTGTAACAACACAGTTGGTACTAGATAATAACCTGATTTTTTTTAAAAAAAAAAACAATAACTAAAATCAGTATTTGTTCAGAATTACATTTGATAATTCACTTTCCTACTAATGGTAGTGGTATGATTCTTTTTAATTATTCAAGAAAGAACCATGGTTTACACCTACCTGGGTAAAAGTCTTTGGATTTAGAAAGCTTGATGGTAGCCCCAGTCTCTTTCTGCAGCTGAACAATTGTCTGTCCTCCCTTACCAATTATAGATCCAGCCGCATAACTAGGTATGAGGACCTTTAGAAAATATTGGCCGTCCTCTGGAAAAAAGAGACAAAAGGTTAATTTATGTTCCGAAACATTTTCTCTCATACCTATAAAATATATCTTTATCTTACAAATATTAATACACTGTTCTTTTGTACAGACTGTATTTGTTTAGCCAATATTCAGTTGATATTTGTTCTTAAATTTGTGATGCTATGGGATGCAATGACCTAATTCAAGTTATAATTCTAGGCATAAAATTGTTCCTGTATGTCTCTATTTAACTTGATACAATAACATGAGCCAAAGTGTATTTCTCTCTCTCTCTCACACACACACACACACACATGTACAGGCACACGGACACACACACACACAAACACACACACACGGAAAGAAAATGATCAAAAAAGATCAAAGTCTTCAAAATGGTACAAGCAATTTAAAGAAAGAAAATTGTGAGAACTAAAGGCTATGTATTGTTGTCCTACAGTCTTCGAAGAATACACTGCTTTTTGTTAAATAACCCGGAATCTGAGGCTTTATTCAAAAGTTATCCTGAAGAAAACTCAAAATAATGTAGTTATGATAATTTGCCTAAGCAATCCTGATGTATTTCTTCAACATTTCTTGGTAGCAATGATCTCTTAAGCTCATTAAAGGACATTAAGAAGAAATTTTCTCAGTTAAAAGGAAGCTAAAATCTTGCATGCATTTAAAAAGTGACTGTTAATGTAAATACTTTCAAAGTAAAGAGTTTAAAAAGTCCCAAAATAGGTAAGAACAATCAGTACCATGAATAAAACAACTTTTCCTTTATAACTGAACAATTGTATTGGTTCCTTCACAGGTCTTACACTATCAATTCTATGGACTAGGAAAAAAAAACCCTGTTCTGACAGGATTGCATGTAAAAACCAACACACATTTTAAAACCCTTCTTTATTAAACAGCCCGACTTTGTTTTTTTTTTGTTTTTATATTAAATGCATCTTAGAAGTTTGCTTTCACCAAGGAGCCACCAAAGAGCAGCCTCACTTTCTCTCAGTCAACGTCCCAGCTGATACAGGTGCATCCCCCACCCAAACATTATACAAACGCTTAAATACTTCAGCTATCTACTTCTGCTGTTTCTTAACGTTGGATGAATAAATTCACCTCTGCCTCGGTGCATTGTTATGAAGACTCCAGTGCAAATGAATAGAGGAGATGCTGGTCCCGTTATAACTCATCTCATCCAGGAAGAGCAGGATGTTAACTAACAAGTCACCGCACCAAGACAGACAACTCCCGCCCTCCCTCCTCAAACCTCTCTCTGACACACACACGCGCGCTTACACACACCCCATCACAGTGACCCAGCCCCAGGAAGCACAAATCTGTGCAACATTTTCCACAGAAAAGGAAAGTGGTGCCAGGAAATAAGACAAGTTTTGCTGCCGCCGCCGCCGCCGTTTAATCTACCTGGCGACTCACAAAAGGGGGAAGAGGGAACCGGGGGTGAAAGTGCCTTTTTTCCAGCCGCCATTTATTCGTTCAGTTCTTCCAACTGTTAACCACGCGTGCAAGAGGGTCGGTGCAAGAAGACTTCTGAGCTCCTTCGCCCAGAGGGTCAAGGCTGAAAAGCGCCCCACCACCACCACCACTCCGCCCCGCCACTACGAATATGTGAAATTAAAATAAAACAGGGCTGCTAGATGCTTGAAAGGCGACGCCATTTTGATGAATGATAACATTTGAGAAATAAGGAATGTTTGGGGAAGGAAAAGAGGGAGAGGCGAGGCGAGGAGGCAGGTAGGAAAGGGGAAGGTGGGTGGGGAATTGGGTAGTGGCAGGAGGAGGAGGAGGAGGGGAAAATACCCACCGCCCGTGTTGGTCCTTTTGGTGCTGCCGGCTTCAGGGGGAGCTTCAAGTGGTCTTTTCCGAGAGTCCGGCGGGTCCAGGTCTATGGGTACCCCAGGATGGGTCCCGTTCTGCTGGATGGGAGCTGCCGCCATCATGTTTGCTGCCGCCGCCGCTGCTAGAAGGATAACTGGCTTCTCCCTTCGGGGTGGGGGGAGCAGGGAGGGGGAGGAGGAGGAGGAGGAGGAGGAAGGGGCTCGTCCCGCTTCTTTCGCTTTTCTTCCGTCCTCTGAAATTTCAGGCTAATCTGCGAGATCGGTCCGCTCCCCTCCCCCCAAAAAAGATGCTTTCTTGGAGTGGGGGGCCGGCGCTTGTTTGTCTGGCACCGGTGAAACGGGCCGGGGTGGGGGGGGGAGAAAAAGGGAGAGGAGGAGGGGGGGGAAAGCAGGCTGGACGGCTGGCTGAAGGAGCAGCTGCAGTGCAGTGCCAGCAAAAGCTGAGGTTAAAAAAAATTAAAAAGGGGGAAGTGGGGTGGGAGGGGGAAGCGGAGGCAAAATAAGGGGAGAAAGAGGTAAGAGAGGAGGGGGAGAAAGTGAGGCGGAGGAAAGGAGAGAGGGGAAGCGAGAGGAAGAAAGAAAGGAGGGGAGAGCGAGGCGGGGAGGGGAGGAGGGGAGAGAAAGAGGAGGTTGGGGTTGTGGGGTGGGAGAGAGAGTGAAACTGGATTCAGGGAATGTGGCCCCTCCAGAATCCCCTCCCCGCCTTTTCTCTCCCGGCGATAGTCGGGCGCTTGCAGCTGGCGAGGAGAAGCGGCTGCCGGAGCCGAGAAGGGCTGTTACTGCTTTCGCGTTCTCACGCTCTCCCAGTTGAAGAGTCTCAGACGCGCGGTAGGGCTACACTCTGTCAGGAGTTGCTCGCTGAGAGTCTCTCCCCCCCCCCCCCAGTTTTCCCGGCCGCGCTCTCTCCTTTTCTCTCCTTCTCTTTCTGTCTACCTCTCCTTCCAGCACACACTTACGCGGAAAAAAAACTCGGGTTCCCGCGACTCGGGTTGTTAGGGAAGGGGGCTCGCCCTAGGTTTCTCTTGCGGACACACTTTCCGTGCCCAAACACTCCAGCAGGGAAGGGAGGGCAGTGAGGTATGTATTTATTTATGTATTTAACGTGTGTGTGTGTGAGAGAGAGAGAAAGTGAGTGAGTACAATATACGTGTGCAGGCCTTCCAGAGAACCGGAGAGCTGAACCAATCGAGGCGAAGAACTTGAGGCTCGGGTTGGAAGGTTAAGCCAAAAAAGACAGCGAAAGGGTGCCTGATGGGTACAATTGAATCCCGGTCCTGGTTGTGCTAAGATGGGACCATCCAGGAATAAATAAAAACAGCCGATTTCGAACCATTCTCCAGTTCTGACTGCCCCACCTTAAGGAACAGAAGACAGCAGAACTGTGTTGGGCCAAAATAGTTCATGTACTTTCTGTGATGGAGTAGCATGGTAGGAAGGAGGCACCAGATTTTCAATGTTGTTCCACTTCCTTTTCTCCATGTGAATAGGAGCTAGCTAGATGACTCTGGTCCTTTCCTCAGTATTGTGCAAAAATTAGGGAAACAAACAGAAGAATAGAGTTATTCTTCAAAGCTGTTTCCGCTTATTTCCTACACACTTCCTCTGGAGCCTGACTTTCCAGCAAGCATCTTACAAAGAGAGGTGTGTCAACAGGTAGAAGATTTGCACATGCCCATATGACTGAAGGCTGCTCCTCCTTTGGTATTCCATTCTGAATGGAATAAAGGGCAGTGGAATGGGAATTGCTTCTTTTGATCTTCCCTGCACACCAAAATACCAGCATTTTCAAGTGATGATTATAAAGAGCAATTACTACACTTCAGATTGTTTATATGCATTTTCACTTTGGTATCCAGTTAATTCCTTGCTTTCTGGTTGGGCAATACTCAATATGAGCTGGTTAAATCACACTTAGAACTACAATAGCATTTTATCAAAGCTCAAAAAACCGAACAACTACTAGACAGCAAAAAAAAGAGTAGGTTTTTTTTTGCCGTCACTGCTGCTATCTAGTGGTTATATGGTTTTTTGAAGCCCAGATATATTATCACTGATTCATCCAGTATTGGATGCTTATTGAAAACCTCTCAGATGGCTGATCATGCTAAGAGATGCCTTGTGGATATCAGGTTAGAAAAAGTCAGTGTATTACTTTTGTTATTCATTCAATGAGATCCCTACCATGTTTCCTTGCTCATAATTTTCCTCTCTTTCTTCTTCCTCTAGGACTTTACAATAAAAAATACACTTGCTCAGTTCAATCCCTGCTGGCAGAATCTCCAAAGCTAGTGTGTTTTGTATAAAATGATACCCCTAACTTTCTTATATATCTTTACTCATTCTTTTACCATTTAGAGAAATTGATCAAGTTTGGACCCCTTTGCTGTTCACAGAAAGAAGATGACATGGCAGAAATTATTGTTTGTGCTCTTTGGGAGGAAAGTTTCACAGGCCCAAATAAAGCAAGGATGAAATATAAAAAGACAGCATTGTCTTGTGTACATGTTTTCTCTGGGCAGTTTGTTTCTAATTCATTTTTTTTCTCCTTTACACTATATAAAAAGAATGCAAGTAAGTTAAAAATACTTCTTTTTCTGGTTGATATATCACTCTCTATTAAAAAAATGTCTTCCAGAAAGAAAGGATGGGAAAGCAACTGCAGACAGTCTGTTCTTTGCTATCTCAACTCTTAATTTTACAAGTGAGCTATAGCAGCCCTGTAGGGATAAGCATTACAGAACATGGGTCACAGAACAGTTCAGGCAGCATGGCTGTAAATAAACATGGATTCTAATACTACAGAAATACTTTATCTGACATTGGTTGTTACTATTTTTGTACTATTACTATTTTTTGTATATCAATATTGATTAATCCTGCAAAAGGAGTAATTAAAAGTAACTTAAAAGCGAAAAGTGGCTAGAAACATTAATCTGTGTTTTCCAGCGGTGACACTGAAAAATATTAACTACATACAATGGTAATAAATATATCAGGTTTTCTACTTATTTGAAGCATTTTATTACCCATGCTTGTAAAGTAAATCCCACAATGGTACATAAAAATAAATAAAGCATAATTTGTCAGATGTGCATGACCTATATCCATCTATAGGTCGCAAGGCATTAAAAACCAATTTAAGAGAGATGTCTGCTGGATAAAAAGTTACGTTGGGTCCCCAAGATTAGTCTCAATATGCAAAGATGGCCATGCTATTCCTTTTTTTTTTTTTTTCATCCTGTTATGGTCATGCAATTTTCTTTGTCTAGGTCACCTCAGAATTTTATATTCTTTGGTTATTATTTGAAAGTAAATTCTAATTTACATACTGGCTACCAGTTAAACACTTTAAATCCTGTTCACTCATAACTATATTTAAAATATAGGGTTATATTTAAATACGCCACAATTTAGATATGGACAGAAACAAGTTAGTTCATTCCACAATGTTCTCATATTTTCAGATAGTTTGCTCTAAATCACAACGTAAGAAAAGTAAGATTTCATCTGTATAGCAAGACTTGCTAGTTTTCAGTAGTGAAAACTAACAGTTCGGGAACTAAATTTCCACTGTCAATTATTATGTGTCATTTTGTTTGTAACTGATGCTGCTGTTTTCCACACAAAGGTACTGCAAATCCATGTTCTAGATTACAAGTTGCATCTAAAACTATCACTAAAAGTTTGCATCTTTAAAAAAAGATAATTGGAAAATACAAATCTCATAATTTTACGTATGACAAATAAGTGGTCAAGAGCTCATTCTTCTCAACAATTCTAAAAAACACTATCGTACCAGCTCAAATATTTAGAACTAAATGCACAATATGTATTACACATTATGATGGTGTAAATCTCGTAAACTTGAAACCAAAAACAAAGAGCAGCTGAATATTAAATACCTACTGTCATATTTTACCATTATGAAGATGTCATTCAGATTTTCCTCAAGCAGTGAACATAGTGCCAGACAGGTTTATAATGGTCATTGGAATACGTTCCAGTTTTCTCATTCTTCTCATAAGAAATGTGGGCTGTACTTTTAAATCAATTTTTATTGTAAGAATATTGCATTCAATTCCCATCCTTTATTTGCGTAGCACTTAAACTATTTGTTTATATGGCATTATATATACGTTTAGTACTTAAACATGCTTTTGCATAATGACAGATCACATAAATTAAGTTACTGTATTGCATTTGATTTAATATCAACTTTTTCCCCAATATTGTGCTGAGATGTCATCTTAAAAAGTACTTGGGAATAGTTTCATCTTTGGATAAGAGGTTTTTACTCTTGAAAGCAAGAGTAAACAATGTTTATTTATCTTATAATTTTATATGCCACCTTTGCTTTACAAACATATAAATAAGATCATGAAAAATAGCCAAAACAAAAAAACCAATTTACAAAAAGCTATAATCTGTAAATGTGTAGCTCCAGAGATAGTACAAAACCACATTTCTTCTGAATAATAAGCTGACATAATTCATGCATTATTCTATGCTGACAAGATGACATAATTCATACATTATAGTCTGTTTTGTTTAGTCTCTTAGAATTAGCTTGATTCACTCAAAATGCTAAGGCATAAACCAGAGTATATAAGCCTCAATGGTGGAGTTCACACAATACAATAAGCCTAAACCATTCGTTCTGTGAAATAAGGCACAGAATAGTGGCAATCTTCACGAAATCATTCCACGGTGGTCCCACAACTGAGCTTGTGGCCTCTATCCTCCAACTGTGATATAATTGCCTAAAACTCCAACTGTGATAATTGCCTAAAAATTAAAACTAGAAATATGGTACAATGTACAGTAAGGCTGTTAAAATAGATCACTTGATAGCTAGTGTCATTTTGAACCTTATCCATTGAATATTTTTAACCCATTTAATCAATATTTATGATTAAATAAAGACAAGTTGGTTTTGCAAAACTAAAGCATGAACCTTTTAACATGACTAGTAAGGTATCATGGATTTTAATATTGTTTAGATCGTTCCTTTCATATCTGATTTACCTGAAGACACTGTCACTTTAAATAAAAAGATGATCTATAAATATTTTAATTAATGAGCATAGACCTCATTGTAAACCTACTTCATTGAACATGGTGATGTTTACTAATAATTAATGAACTATGGACTAA